CTATATAACACTATACCACACTATATAACACTGCATAGCACAATATAACACTATATAACACTATACCACACTATATAACACTGCATAGCACTATATAACACTATATAACACTATATAACACTATATAAACCTATACCATACTATATAACACTATATAACGCTAGAAAACACTGTATAACACTGCATAGCACTATATAATACTATATAACACTATATAAAACTATATCATACTATATAACACTGCATAGCACTGTATAATACTATATAACACTATATAACACTGTATAACGTTTTATAACACGGTATAAGACTGTATAGCACTATATAACAGTGTGTAACACTGTATAGCACTATATAACACTGTATAGCACTATATAACACTAGCACTGTATAACACTGCATAACACTACATAATACTATATAACACTATATGAAACTATACCATACTATATAACACTGCATAGCACTATATAATACTACATAACACTATATAACACTATATGAAACTATTTAATGTATTTTTTGTGCATTTCGCAGGGTAGGGGTAGGGTAAGTTATGTGAAGTGGACTCGAGGAGTTTTTTTTTTTTTTTTGCTCGCCGATCCATGGCCTTCTTGTGCCCCCCCCCCTTAGCTACGCCAGTGTATGGACCCGTCCTGGACATCATCTCTATCCTTGAATAGACTAAACATAAAAACATTTGTAACACTGAGCAGTATTAACTAATATGTTAACCGATGAATATCTAGACTAGTCTAGACTATAGATTAGTATATCCACAGATAAATACAAACACAGTGTGTTTGTATATACAGTGTAATATATCTTATCCAAAACGATACTATAGAGACGGACATGCTGAAACAGGAACCGGAAGAAGGAGAAACACTCCCGCCACCTTGCGTTTTCCTTATGTTTTCTTGTTGCGTTACAGCAGAAGCGTTCGTATTATCGTTATCGTTTAACAAAATTGCCGAAGTCAGATTGCAAATCGAATTAACTGAAAATATAGCTTGTAAATATGTCACAGCAACAACAGGATGAATTAGAAAGGCAACGGCAGCATCAGGCGAATGTTATGATATCAGGGTTCGGAATTCAACCTAGTCTGTCGGTACAGCAACCACAACAGTCGCCCATTGGGATGCAGTTCGGACAAGTTCAAGCATCTTCCCCGCAAAGCAACCATAATCAACAACCACAGGTATTGACACTGTTTAGACTTTAATGCACAGTAGTAGGCCTACCGCGCACTACAAATTGCAATAGCCGGTTTTAGGTAAATTCACCCATAACGTAATTTGTAAAGTATTGTAACTGCTAGTAGGCCCCTATAATTATTAATATTTATTATGGTTCAAGGATAGAGAACATGGGTCCCAATAAAACCAATGTCATTTACATCAATATAAATATAATATTATATCAATATAATAGGTTAGGGTTATGGTTAGGGTTATTGTTAGGGTTAGGGTTAGGGTTAGGGTTAGGGTTGGGGTTAGAATTAGGGTTAGGGTTAGGGTTAGGTACATTGGTTTTATTGGGACCCATGCGACAAATTTGTCTTTGGTCTCAACCAGGAGTCAATGCGATCAGAACTGTTGAAATATTACCTGAAACCGG